AACGGCATCTGTGCTTATGTTAGTCTGCTTTTTTCTTATTCCAAGGTCAATATAATTCTGGACCAGGCCGTATCCTAAGCAGATGCTGTGGTGGTCATAGAGGAGTGGAGAGTATGAAAGACCACAGTGACAGATGAGTCTCCACATTGATCCCGTGGGCCAGCCTGTACACCCAGATGTGACCTACACATACCTGCAACTTCTCCACAATGGACGTCCAGCGTTCTTCAGCCTCCATCACCTATACTGCAACTCCAGCTCCAACTGAGCCTGATTTCTCTCTATAGGCTTTTTTCCTTCACTTTCGTCAATTGGTAAAGTTAGTTTCTCGGCCATGTTTTCACTGGTTTGCTTGGCTTGGGACTTGTGGAGCTGTGCATCGATGGATTTGCTCTTTAGTGTTTGGACTTTCAGCAGTGAAAATTAAACCACGCTGAACCGAACCAAACTGAACTTTAACTCTGAAAACATGACTGACACAGTTTAAATTTACTAGAACATCTATGTTAAACGGTTTTGACACAATCTACATTATAAAAACAGCCCAGCTAGAGCAATAAGGCGCAAGCATGACATGATTTGTTGCTATTTTCAGACCAGCGCAACTGTAATTTTCATGCATTGCGCCACATAGGTTAAATAGCAAATCCATTTGCACCACTATGTGAACTCATGGGTGTTTCAGTCTGAAAAGGAGGTGTAAGGCGCATTGTTGGCATGTTGCTATTTTAGTTGAACTGAAATGTACTGCGCCATTGACCAACTACAAGCTGGTCTAAAGTCCAGTGCAGAGCATGTTAGTTATGCACCTATGCATGTCCAAACGCTTACACATGGCTTAATACACACAGGATGTACAGCAAAACACAAATATCTTTACATATGAAAACAAAAATTAAGGATTTAAATGTTCCAAAAATGTATTCAATTTATTTATTATTTATTATTTTCTACATAAATATAAAAACCACTAACTCCATGACAATTTGCATTTGTATAATGTTTATAATAAGTTTAGATTTGTCCAGCTGTCGGGTTTTGAAGACGTTTGCATCCCTTAATGGGGCATTGGAATAGGATGTGTGTTTGGACATAACTTCGTTATACACTCCATGTACACTTCATTAAAAAATATTAATTTATTCGCTTGCTGGAAATCAGAACTGAATTTAAAAATAGTTTTGAAACACATCTTTGCACTTAACAAACAAAATTAAATACTATGGCTAATGGATGTCTTCAGTGGAGTGCGTACAACACTGTTTCCTTATCCACGAAAGTAAAGGAGTAAAGCAAAGAGTGGAAGTAAAGAGAAAGTAAAGAGGCCAAATGGAGGAGGCAGATGGTCTGTTTAACTGTTTACGCAACTGACTTTTAAAGGGATTGTGAGATGAGACTCTGATTGGTTTTAATGCATGTTATGCTCAAAACATACCCATAACTCATTAAGAGATTAAGCACAATCCTGTTAGACCATGCGCCAGAGTGCAGAGCATATTTTTCCGCCCTTACAATAGCAAAAATGGATTCAGACTCGGCCTTAATGCTTTTGTGCAATGCACTTTAGACATTGCGATAAGATCGTTAAAACAGAGCCCTCTGATTTGAGCTTACAGAAATTATCAGTTGCTCTCCAACATTAGGCACATTCAAATCAAGACTTTTAAACACATCATTTTAGCTCTACCTTTACTAAATGAGCATTGTGCTGATTTTATTTATCACTGATTTTATTTCTTATAGTCACATTTTACATTGTTTTATTCTTGTTCATATAAAGCACTCTGAATTACCATTATGCATAAAATCTTCAATGTAAATAATCTTGACTTGCCTTGATTACTGCTTGAATAACCAATCAGAGCACACTCTTCAATCAACGGCAGACACCAGTTGTACATGTTGAATAGGGCCGACTTGATCCAACATTAACCCAACAGGATGCAACATGTGGATAACACTAAACCAAGTAGCCACAACAATGCTGACCAACAGCCTGCCAGCCAAATGCTCAACCAATCACAACAACTCTGAAACTCAACTCTAAAAACTGAACTGACACTGTTTTAATTTACTAGAACTTCTATGTTAAGCTGCTTTTAAGCTACTTTGACACAATTCACATTGTAAAAGTGCTATAGAAATAAAGAACTGAATTGAATTGAATTGAATAAGATCAGAGTGGACTCTGGGAAAGTTGGGACTTTTCCTTGAACCAACCATTTTGGACACTGTGAGAAAAAGAGGATAAACTTAAGTGGTCTACTTCTACCTCGTTCCTTCCATCCTTTTTTCAAATCCCCTAAACATTCACAGGTCAGGTTTTAAACTGAGAGGAGCACTTCTTGGATAAGAGTGTAGAGTGACCTCCAGCCCACTATTTGTGTGAGTTTTAATTATGGCAGGAGTTTAGGGAGGTGAAGATGCACTCAACAGCAGCAGGGACTGAACTGTTGTCTGAGGTTAGAGCCGTAATCCCTCCAAAAGGAATACTAGTGCTCCTCGACAGTGAGGGACAGCGATGAGGGAAATAAAGCGTGCCGACTGTGCTTGAGCTGCATTTTAGAAATGCCATGGCTGGAAGAGTATAAAAACTTCGCCAGTCACTTCACCCACAGAGCCTGTGAGACTGGCAGGGAAAAGATTAAAGGTGCCACTTGTTGGAGGGTCTAAATGAAAAACCAATGCTGAAAAAAAGCCTGGCTGTTGGGTCTTAGCTGGCCTGTTAGTCGATTTAAATGTGTTTTGGACACTTTAATTCCTTGAACACACTAAAAGTTAAATGCATAAACTGATTTATTTGATCTAAGCTGGTCTAGTAGTTTGTTTGGAGGATTTTTGGACACTTATTTGATGTCAGTAGGCCCGTTAAAAAAAGCAAACTGTGCACGTAGCTGTGCATTCATACTTGTGTGCGCTGTTTCTGTTGCTCTGCAATACACTTCCGAAACGTTAGTTGGCAGTGAGGTGTTTATGTTCCTGTGTCGAGTTTCTTCGCTGGTGTTTTGCCTTTTCTGAACGCTTCCTTATATGCACAAGTGGTTCAAACTTGCTCATTTTGAGGCAGGAACCAGCGGATCTGAACAACTTTAACCAGAAGGTAAACACAAAACAAAAAACAAAACTTTCCATCCCGAGCTCCCTCATGTGATTCCACACTTGTAAACAATCGCTCAATAGGGCTCGCATGGTTCTCGGCCCCGCCCACACTTGTCATCGCTACCAAGCCAACCAATCACAGAGCTTGCGCTACGCACATCTGTGGTTCGCATTATTTGGTCTGGACAAAGGGCAACAAATGATACATTGTAGCATTTTTTGCTGTCTTTAGGTCTTTTTCACACCACACTGATTGCTTTTATCTAAACCAGTTGAAAAGAACCAAAATGCTGTCATGTGACAAAATCCACATCACTCATTGGCATGTTTTTGAACGTACTTACTAAACTGCTGATCAATTGGTCACAATTAATATGTGGGAAAATGGCGACAGAACTTCCGCAAAAAACTGGCAGACGCAAAATGTTGCTTTTTACCATGTACGGACGACTGCGCTGACTGATTATCTGGTCATAGTATACAATATAGTATGTAATATGTAGTACTTTAGACAAACTATACATACAGCGTAGCTGCGGCTGAAAATCTATGTTTTAATGCATTGCAAACAGCTAATGTTTCCGTCTTTCTTTCTTTCTTTCTTTCTTTCTTTCTTTCTTTCTTTCTTTCTTTCTTTTTTCAATTTCTTTCCTTCATTCCTTTGTTTCATTCTTTCGTTTGTTCCTTCTTTATTTTATTTTTTTTATTTGTTTATTTATTTTATTCCTTCCCTTCTTTTCTTTTCTTTCTTTCTTTCTTTATTTTTCTTTCCTCCTTTCATTTTTTCTTTCTTTCTTTCTTTCTTTCTTTCTTTCTTTCTTTCTTTCTTTTCCCTTCCTTCCTTCCCTCCCACCCTCCTTCTTCCTTCCTCCCCTCCCTCCCTCCCTCCCTCCCCCCCCTTTCTTTCTTTCTTTCTTTCTTTCTTTCTTTCTTTCTTTCTTTCTTTCTTTCTTTCAAATCATACTTAATTGTCTAACTTATATTTCCAGATTTTAATGGTTAATGGATTTTTTTGACCATGCAAACTACTGCAGGTTTTAAACAACCCTCCAAAAAGCCCTATGAGACCAACTACAGCTTGAAAAACCAACTAAAACATGAGAGATCAACTAAAACCAGCAAAATACCAGACGTTCGTTAATGTAGGCCTTAAATAGGATAAGCAATCGACCAAAACCAGTTCATGTGGAATTAAAACAGAGCAAGAATGACAGCCAATATTTCTCATGTCACACAGCCATTTTACAGATGCATAAAACATACACACAATAAACAGAGCAAGACCAATAAATAACTTTAGCGTTATGGTGATATTGATTATTGAGGGAAATGCCATTACAGCTCATTGATTTAACTTCTCGGCAGCTATTCATCATGCATAAGGGATTTTACTTCCGCCTGCATCTAAACTGTTATCAATCGTCTCTCTTAAGCTCGCGGTCGACATTTAATTACAGCTTAAATGTTGGTCAGCATCAAAGTTCAACGATCACATCAGAAGACTTCTATAATCAGTCTCCCTTTCAAAGCTATGAATACTAAAGATCAATATACACATTCAAACCAGACTGCCTTCTGGCATGATAATAATGATTATAAAAATTTTATGAGACAGCACACATTAACAAAGACCCATAAAAATTACCATATATTTTCACTAATCAATTTCTAACTCTTTATTAATACCAGAGAAAGATTTATATATAAATAATTTCCCAAGGACTACACAAACAAAGACAAACTAGAGAGAGTATTTCTTTCTGTATATATAAATGTATATTCTCTAGAGTTTTTAACCTTTAAATCACAAATGTCCTTAGATTAACTGCAAAGTATGCCACTCATGAACTCATGCACAAAAAAAAAAAAAAAAAAAAAAAACATACAAAAATTATGTTTACCTTCATTGTCTTTAATTGTAAAGTTAGGGTTGGCAGAAACTCCTCCAGGAAAAGAGAAGGAAAATCCCTTTCCGTTTGCAAAATCATCTTTATCCACAGCAGTGATTGTCTGAATGACCTGCAATCAACAAAATGAGAAAAAAAACAAAAACAAACATGAGAGAAACACTTTCATGCAATTTATTTTTTTAGCTTTTTAGTTCTTTCCGATAAAGTGTGAAAGATGACAAAAAAATCCTGTAACCATTGACTTTCATAGTATTTGTTTTTTCAGCTATGTAAAAATGCAGGGCTCCACACAATCTCCTAATGTTGTACCAACATAAATTGATTAAATTAACTTAATTGTTTTCACCAATTTAAGTTAATTAAACACAAAACACTTGACGCAATAAGGCGTTGTCATTTTCAGACCAGTGCAACACTAGTTTTTACATTTTGTGCCAAATTCTTTAAACAGCAAATCCATTTGCATATATATATATATATATATATATATATATATATATATATATATATACAAGTTTTGGAGACATATGCATCACCATATGAGGCATAGGAATAAAATGTGTGTTTGGATATAACTCTTTTTACCACATTTTGTTATTATTGTTCATTCATTCTTTTGCTGAAAATTAGAACTGAATTTAAAAATAGTATAAAAAACTAATCTTTGCGCTTAACAAACTAAATTAAATACCTAGGCTAACGGATTCATTATTCAGTGGAGTGTGTATAACACCTTTTCCTTTTCCACAAAAGTAAAGGAGTAAAGTAAAGAGTAAAAGTAAAGAGGCCAAATGAAGGAGGCTCATTTTTTATCCTTGTGCTGCAGTTGGTCTGTTTAATTGTTTTCTCGCTAGTGAAGCATTCAGTTTTTCCACTTACAAAGTTCACCATGTAAATAGCAAATAGACCATGGTGCGAAGCAACTGACTCTAAAAAGGGATTGTCAGATGAGACTCTGATTGGTTTAATGCATGTTATGCTTAAAACACACCCAGAACTCATTAAGAGAATAAGCACAACCCTGTTAGACAATGCGCCGAGATGCAGATTGTATTTTCTGTCCTTAAAATAGCAACAGTGGATTCAAACACATCCTCATGCTTTAGACTTTGCGCTTAGATTGTAAAAATAGAGCCATAAGTTGTACCAAAAAAACTCAAGAATTGTGTTGTTTCAGCTCATTTAAATAAGTAGTTTGAACAAGCAGCAAACACACTTTTGTGTGCACTATGGAGGTAAATGGTTACAGCACTTTTAGCATTCTTCAAAATATCTTATTTTGTGTTCAACAGAAGAAAGAAACTAAAACAGGTTTAGAACAAGGAAATTAAATGATGACAGAATTTTCATCCCTTTAAGATGTCTGCACTACACATGCATGGATTCCGCATCCTAAAACAAAAGTTTAAAGTGAGATTTAGGAGCTCAAAATGCAGTATATATTTTTCTTCATGTCAAAATGACCCCATTGCTTCAGAAGTCTCAGTATCTGTAGGAAAACTGTGCTTTGTGCTTTAAAACAGCTGGTTTGTTGGTATAAGTTGTCCTGGCAACCCAGTAGGCATTTGATTCTTTGAGTGTGGTCCATTATGGGTTGCGCATCGCTGTGCTGAACTCCCTGTGAAGAGCAATACCTTCAAACCCAACAGATTCAGCCTGAAGGAGCGCTTAATTGGATCGCTTCTTGCTTATGTGAAAGCAGAAATGATAAAAATATAGAAAACTTCACAAGGACATGCCGGTCATCCTGTTTGTTTACCACTTTTATATGAATATTATAGAATACATGACAAGCACAAGTAAGTCTTATTTAGTTCTTTCTCTTTTGTAAACAGCATCGGTTCATGTGTGAGTTTATATACTGTATTGTTAAAAAGTAACTTAACCAATTCAGAAAAAGAAAGCCCTCGTCTGGTTTTTACCAGGTTTTTAGATGTTACCACATTCCTACCCTGTTATTTACTTGTTATTTACAGTCGTCAACTGCACTGTCAACTCCTCTCCGTGTCTCAAGCCCACAGATGTATGTGGCAAGCTGCTGAGCCAACTAACAGCAGGTAAAAGCTGTCCCCATTGAGGTAAGTGGTTAGCTGGTAGTACAAAAAGAAACAGAAGCTGTTCGTTTTAAAGACGAAATGCAGCAACACGTAGCTCTGGCTACATAACTCCTGTTCTCCAGAAATGTATACTGGGGTATGTTTTCACAATGAGCCTGTGTTGGATAGTTTGTTTACTCACCCTTCTCAAAAAGCTGTTTGAGTTTCTTCAGTTTAAAAATCCTGGAAACCTGTAAGCATTGACTATTTTTTTTTTTACTAAGAAGTCAGTGATTACAGATTGTCAGCTTTTTTTCAACAGAAAATAAATTAAACTTATAAAGATTTGGATCTACTTGAGGGTGAGTTTTTTAGTATCCCTGTAACAGTTAAATTAAGGTTGCACTAGTAAATGTTAGTATACTTCCGTAAACTTTCCTGCTGACAAACAAAGAAAATAACAAGTTTAAATATTTTTTTTAAATTTAAATTTGTTATTTGTTTTTGAGAATGTGAAAAACTGCTGATCTGTACCTAAGTTTTGGCATGTGGGGTAGAGATCTATATGCCAACTTTGAAAAGGTTAAGATGTATTAATAACGATACATGTGAGATATTTGATAAAACATGGGGACAGATATTAGAACATCTTAATGCTTGGAAGTAATGCAAGCATGTCCAATAACCACTGTCAATAACCAAAGTAGTTAAAGAATGAGTGTAATTAATATTCACTATTAATAATCTGTAATGTTTTTACAACTGTTATGATTATGCACAGTTTTTTTACAGTACTTTTTTTTAAAATAAAGTCAACTAATCGCTTTGAAAATAAAAGGTTTACTCAATTTTGTGTACTTGCTAAATGTATTTTAAATACTATATAGTAGGGTAAAAATGTTGGGTTCCACATAAGTCCTACATGTTGTCACAACACAAATCAATTAAGTAAACTAAAAAGTTTTTACAAATTTAAGTGGATTAAACTTAAGTTAAGTTGTCCCCCGCAAAAAACTTAAGAATTGTGTTGTTTCAACTCATTTCAAATAAGTGGTTAGAACAAGCACCAATGTAATTTTTGAAGTGTATGTGTTTTCTTACACAGCGAGAGTCTTGAACATCTTTAACCTGCACAACAACAGCTCAACCAATGATGTGAGACTGGGGGTGGAGCTATTTGTTTTTTCCAACCAATAAATAACTGAGGAAGAAGTTTGATACTCCTGTTCAAAGTCCATTTACGATGCAAGTGCTTCAGAAAGCGCTCACTCCACTTTTAAAACACATAAAAAAGGGCACATGAGCACTTTAATGTGGTTCTTCCGTAATGTAGTGTGGATAATTTTTGGGAAGTGGATGTACTGTTTTATGTTGGGAACACAGGGGATATTAAAATGGGCTTGACCTCATCTGTCCTTGATTCTCTCTCTCTTGCTCTCATCGCTCTCTTTCTTCGGGCCAGTGCTGAAAAACAGCATTTTGAAATGAAATGGGAAAGAGTGGGTAGGAAAATAGGAGTGTGCTTTAGTGAGTCAGAGCTGTCACGCTTTGTTGATCAGATTTTTATTCTCATTGAGGGATGATTAGCATTCCTATAACCCCTTTCCATTTTCCTATTTCAGCCTCTCTAAATATTCACGCTCTTTCTCCTCTTTTACACCATTCATGGCGGGGAACTGTGGCAGCTCATAAGGGATTTTATTGGGCACGCTGATAGAGTATGTGAATCCATATTAATCAAACATTGGTCAATAGAGTAACCATTTATATTACTAATCAATGCATGAACAAAATACTTGTTTATGCATGATATCCTTGTCAATTACATTCATTAGAATGCAAACAGATTATTAAAGCAGTAAATTTTATCATTTATTTTAGCTTTACTGCATGGAATGAAGGTTGCAGGCTTTGTTTTTAAATGCACTTCACGCCATTCGCTTTCAGTCAATTCTCTTGTTTAATAAACAGGTATTTCAGGTTAAACTGGGGTCCTGACTCTCTGTGGTCATTAAAAATCTCAGTATGTCCTTCGAAAAAGTAGGGGTTTCAATTTCCCCACTGGCCTCTGTCCTCTGTATGGGCGGCGTTTCTGGTGTTACCAGTTTGCCAAAAAAAAATTGCTTTTGAAAACACTATCAGTTGGGTTTAGAAAGGGAGTGGGTGGGTCAGTAAGTCAGTCATTTAGTCGACAGCAAGCTGGCCTGGCCGGCTGAAGTGTATATTGCACCTTCTGGTGGATTTACATGAGAAGAGGATGCGCAAGAGAAATTTGAAATCATTAAAAAGCATACACAGCAGCCTTTGGTGGATGTGCTAAAACAAAAACTGCAAGCAAACGTACCTCCGGTTACGTATTTCGCTGTCCAGAGAAATGTAGACCTGGGTACGTATTCGCAATGAGCCGGGGTTGTAAAAATTGCATCTAACAAAATTCGGCATCAAACAATAATCTATTACCGAACAATACATATTGAAAAAGTTGTTTCTAGTCTTCTGGCATTTTCCACGCCTTAATGATATTCACATTCAAATTAGAACAAAAACAAAACACCAAAATCAACGGCTAAAACAGAATGTGTCAGAGAGAAAGCAAGACAGAGGAACAGTTCAGCTGTTGTGGGACTTACATGTCCTGCTCTAGTGCCTTCACAGATGATGATCTCGTCTTCTGTGTTGATTTTTGGGGGATTGTCGTTGACATCCAGAACCTGCACGGTGACAGGCACATGGCTCTGAAGACTGGGATTGTCTGAAAACAAATAAAAGCATGTATAAAAAGTAAAGAGTGAAAGAAGAAGAAGAAGAAAAAAAAATGTCAAAAGCTAGCTTATATGAAAAAATATATTTATATGCCATAAAAAAAGCCTGGAAAGTTGGCCAAATTCATCATAAACAATTTAACACGCATAGTTTAATCAACCAATTCAAACCATCTGCAGTAAACATAAATCCGATAACCATGTTTACAAATCTGCAAAATAAATTGTTTCTAACAATGGCAATTCTTAAGATATTTAAGATTTTATTTTTTTTACAGTTTTTTTTAGCAATTTTATCAAACATAATATTTCCAATTCAGAAATAAAAGATAAATCAAATGATTTTTGTTTGAACTACTCTCAGATACTTCTTAAAATTTAATAACCGTTTCTAAATAAATAAATAAACAAAAAAAAAAACTTTTGAATTGCTATTTTTTCATTTAACCATATATATATATATATATATATATATATATATATATATATATATATATATACACACACACACACACACACACACACACACACACACACACACATTTAATTTAGATTCTAAACTAAAAAAACAAAAAACAAAAAAAACTTTAACATTTACAATTGAATGATGTAGATGAAACGTGCTGAAAACAATAAAATTATATTAAAAATCACTTGAAAATATTATATTCCATTATAATGTTATCTATAATGTCTATCTATTATATCACATTCAAACAATGATCAGGGGAAGTGTAAAGCTTTATAAATAAAATTCATTCATTATGTAGAATTCTGCATGAACTTGCATGACTATTAATGAACTGCAATGTTGTTTTGCTGAATATTAAATAACAAACAGATAAACAAAAAAGCATGACCAATGACCAGAATGTCCAATTAATTTTTGATTAACAAACATGGTTTATGCAATTTCTACCTGAAAAGAACTTATATCCGAGCAATAATTTCTAAGAAAAAAGTACATTTGCATGCACTGCTTGATCCCTGAGTGGGATCCGTCTAATTTTGTTTACAAATTGGCTAAATCATCTAATAGCAATTCTCAGAGTGAGTCGGACCCATACTGGTTAAACTAAATTGAATCAAAACACCATAAATGCAAAATTAACAAGACATTATAATGCTCATAAATTAAAAACAGGCCAACTGCAAGGAAATAAAAATATTCTGCACAATTACACCTTAAGTAATTAACACGATGAATTATTGTCAGTTAGGGCCTTTTGAATTTACTTTGCATCTTTTAGAATTACTAACGATATGATGGTTTTGATTTAGTAATTATGATACAAAAGCATAATTTTGTAGACTCAATCCAAATCAATAGGACAGACTAGACAGACAAATGGATGGGTAGACAGACAGGGTAGACAGACAGATGGGTGGGCGGGCAGGCAGACAGGCAGACAGACAGACAGACAGACAGGCAGGCAGGCAGGCAGGCAGACAGACACACAGACAGATGGACAGAAGGGCAGACAGACAGACAGACAGAAGGACAGATAGACAGAAAGACAGGCAAGGAGACAGACAGATGGACAGATTGATTGACACACAGAAAGAAGGTCAGATTTATGGATAAATGGATGGAAAGGTGGACAGATTGGTAGACAAATAAGTGGGCAGATAAGTGAAGAGATAAATAGAAAGAAGGATGGATGGATGGATGGATGGATGGATAAATAAGAATAAGTATGAATAGATAGGAATGAATAAGGATGGATGGATGGATGGATGGATGGATGATATACTGTATAAACAACAGAATAGATGAAGAAATTAATAGAAAGATAGATAATGAATAGATATTTAGGTGGATGAGTAGATATGTCGATAGATTAAGCTGAAAAGATGGATGGATGGATGGATAGATGGATGATAGAATGTATAGGTAACAGAATAGATGAAGAGAGTAATAAAGATGGATAATGAATGTGTGTAACATTATGTAGTTATGTAATAAGATAATGAATTAAAGAATTACTGTACATAAATTTAGCTTTGTTTATTTAGAATACATTTTCGTTTACTCTCTCTCATCGTCTCCTCATCGACTTCATATGAATCCTTCATGCTTGTGTTATTTTATATATTATCTTTATACGTGTGTTATTTTCTCTCCTGCTTGCAGCTGTGTAATTTCAGAGAGAATAGCAGGGAATAACAGCCTATTAAGGTTTCTCAGGCTGGTGCTGAGCTCTTTGTGTGTAGTGTTTGTTATTAGTTGACTTCATGCACGTTTTATACCACTCTCTAGAAGAAGCTCTGTTAACCCTGTACTGACCATCTAGCAGAAATCCACTCATTATAAAAAAGGAAAACAGAGATCAAATGGCTAACAGTGGGCTTTTTCTCTGATGAATATCGCTCCGCTTTGCCCTCTAGGGAACTTCCACACTTGTATGAAGTGAAAGAACAAAAAGATCTGATATATGTATACTGATTTTATATTCACTCAGTCTGTTTTCTAGCAAGGTGCGCCTATGTTGTCATATAGAACGCTTCATTAGGGGGAAAATACATGAAATACATAGATCTTTCAAGACTGACATTAAATGAGCTCAAAGCATAACACTTCAAAGCATTTACTTCTGTAGACACCAAAATACGGCATTTTAAACTTTTTGATCTCAATAAAATAAAAATAAAAAAAGGAAAAACAAGTCAGCAGAGTGAATGATGTAATCGTGTCAGTTTTGAGCATTAAACACTGTAGTTGGACCTGAGTCCTGAAAGACTTCCACATTGTTTTCTGTGCTGCTACTTTGTATCCACTTTCAAAGGATTGATACAATAAAACCATAGCCATTGTTACTGTTTGCATCACTCTATTTACAAATGCAGAAAAAAAGCTGCAACTAAGATATACTAATGAAACATTGGTTCTTGTAAGTGATAGACCAATCAAATAAGACTAGGTCATTTGGCCAATCTCATTAGAGAAGGCTTTCAAAAAGGCGGGGTTTAGATATAACCTACTAATGACTATTGGCTCCTGTAAGTGGTAGACCAAGGTCATCTGACCAATCTGATCAGAGAAGGCTTTCAAAAAGACAGGTTTAGATAAAGCCCACTAATGACCATTGGTTCCTGTAAGTGGTGGACCAATCAGAAACTATAGGCAATCTGGCCAATTTGATGAAAGAAGGCTTTCGGAAAGAGGGGGTTTAGATATTGCTTACTAATTACTATTTGTTCCTTTAAGCTGTAGACCAATCAGCAAAAAATGGGTAATTTGACCAATCAGATAAAAGAGTGCATTCTAAAAGACGGAGTTTAGAAGTACTGAAATTCATATATACCAATAAACAGTGGTTCAGTACTAGGCAATCTGACCAATCAAATCGATTAGATAAGTCTTTCAGACAGGCAGTATTATATATAGCCTACTAATGACCATTGGATTTTGTAAGCGGCAGACCAATCAGAAAAGACTAGGCCATCTGACCAATTATATAAGAGAAGGCTTTCTGATAGGAAAGGTTTAGAGACACTGAAATTCAAATATACTAATGAACAATTGTTTATGTAAGTGATAGACTAATCAGTAAAGACCAGGCCATTTGACCAATCAAATTAGAGCAGGCTATCTGTTTAGAGAGACTGAAATTCAGTTATATTAATGGACATTGATTCTTGTAAGTAGTAAACCAATCAGATAAGACTAGGTCATTTGACTAATCACATAAAATATTGTTTACTGAAAGGCGGGGTATAGAGGTACTGAAATTCCAATATACCAATGAATGTTGGTTCGAAAGTTGTAGACGAATCTTAAAAGACTAGACCATCTGACCAATTTGATCAGAGAAGTCTTTCAGAAAGGCTACTTTACTTTAGGTCTTAAATTCTAGCCTACTAATGACCATTTAATCCTGTGAGCGTTAGACCAATCAGAAAAGTCTAAGCCACCTGACCAATCATATTACAGCAGGCTATCTGAAGGGCGTGGTTAGAGAGAGTGAAATTCAATTATATTAATAAACACTGGTTCCTTTAAGTAGTAGACTAATCAGATAAGACTAGGTCATCTGACCACTAAGATATAAGAATGCTTTCTGAAAGGCAGGGTTTAAAGGTACTAAAATTCAAATTTGCCAATAACGTTGGTTCATGTAAGTGGAAGACCAATCAGAAAAGAGTAGGTCATCTGACCAATCTTATGAGAGAAGGCTTTAAGAAAGACAGCTTTAGATATAGCCTAGTGATGATAATTTAACCCTGCAAGCCGTAGACCAATCAGAAAACACTAGGCTATCTGACCAATCATATTAGAGAAGGCTTTCTGAAAGGCGGGGTTTAGAGAGAGGGAAACTCAAATACACCAATGAACATTGCTTCATGTACGTGTTAGACTGATCAGAAAACACTTGACCATCTGACCAATTTGATTAGAGAAGGCTTTCAGAATGGCAGGTTTAGATCAAGCCTACTAATGACCATTTGATCTTGTAAGCAGTAGACCAATCAGAAAAGACTAGGCCATCTGACTAGTCATATTAGAGCAGGCTATCTAAAATGTGTTTAGAGACTAAAATTCAGTTATATTAAAGAGCCCATATTATGGGTTTTTGAAAATTCCCCTCCATGTAGTGTGTAACACAGCTCTAAGTGAAGTAAAGTATCCAGCTAAGGCTTAAATCTGTAAGAATACAGTGTTTAAAACGGTTAATTCATCTATAAAAGAGTCGACTCATAGTGCTTCAAACGAGTCGCCTTGATACCGATTCATTAGGTGTTTCGCCATGACGTACGAATGAAACCAAGTTATTCACGTGCACGCGCAAACCCGGGAGATTTCAAACCTGAGGCCCCGCCCTCTGACGCAGAAACCCAGACACACGCACACACAAACATGCCGGTCGATTGAAGTCACACTGCAGATGGATATACTGAGTCTCTACCCAAAGATGAAACCTCAGCATTATAGCCAAGCAGTTGGAAACTACTGGAAACTTCTGGAAACTACATGCTACAAAGAATACTT